TACGCCGTGCAATTCGGAGGAATGGCTGGGCGGATGCCTTGAGCGTCAGCCAGGGGCGACGTGTCGCGGCCTGACGTTGGTTGCTTGGTGCGTATTGGCCGGTCCTGCAGGGTGAATGTTTTCTGCTAGCCAGGAAACGCGTTCACCGATGAATCAGGTGTAAAGGCCAAGGCGCGAATTAGGCTGCTGGATTTGCCCTGGGTTTGCTACAGGCGCAATTGTTGTTGTTGTTGTTTTTTGTCAAAGCTGGTGATCAGCAGCAGGCGTCCTCGAGGAAGGAATGGAGGCCGGGGGCGAAGGAGGCTGCAAGATGCTTTTCCTGGCAAGGGAGGAAATGCGCAGCAGCAGTCGGCAGCAGTGGCAGCTGAGCTGCGTTGACGGTGAGCCGGTTTCAGGAAAATTCGCTCTCTCGCTCCTGCAGCGTGGGATGCAGACGGGGGGCGAGCTGTCGTGTCCTGCGTCCTGCAACGTTGGGATTGGACGTGGAAATCGCCCTGGCAGCCCGGGTTGTTCTAACCAATTGGGGCCTTTCGGGGGGCTTTTGGATCTAGATGCGTTGTCAGGTGGTGTTGGCTGGCAGGATGAGCCGGCGATTGGTTTCGTTGTCGAAGAGGTCAGGCGAACGACGATCCTCTGACAGGTCGCGCACAGTGGATGCCTGGGCGAATGGAGCCGGGGGGTGTTTGATGCGTGGGCGCGGGCGCGGGCGTGCCTGCTGCACGGTCGCGGTCGTTGTCGAGAGCGACGACGATGGTGACAGCCCGAGAGCCGAGAGTAGAGACGGGGGAGGGGGGGCTGGAAGAGAAGCACTATCAGGGACAGCCAGCAGTGGACAGGTCCTGCAGGTGGTGGAGGTCCAGGGGCAACAAAAACAGGAACCAGACCAGGAACCTGAGCGGACGACCTGGGCTTGCGGTGAGCAAAACGAGAGAGGTGGTCCAGTTCGGTTCGGACAAAGAGCAGAGCTGCAGGCAAGGCAGGGTACTAGACTTTAGGGGGATGTGCCTGGCGCAGCTAGCGAGCCAAGCACCGAATGGCTCTTTGGTCGTCGTGGGCCAATGTCCTAAACGGGGGGCTGGGAGGCTCGGCCGCTTGTTCGTTTGGTCGTCCGTTCCACAGATTGTGTCTTGTCTCGTTCGTTCGATAGTTCAACTGCCGGGTTGGGTGGTCACTTGTTGTTGTTTGGACCGACGAGTAGCTCACGCTCTATCGCGCTCTCGGCGACCCTCCTTTGGCGAAAGGAGGACGGTTAGCTGGACGAGGCGAGGCGGAGGCGGAGGAGGAAGCTGAGGAGAGGACGGAGGAGGAGGAGGAGGAGGAGGAGGCAGAAGAGAAGGCTTGCAGGAGGAATCTCCCCCCAAATGACGGGTGATGGGGAACACGAGGGAGAAAAGGGAACGCCAGAGGGCTGATGTGATGAATGAGCGTCAATGCTCTGGGGTGCTTGGTGCTTGGAGTAAATTTGACGAGATGAGACTTGGGATGAGCCGGCTACAGCGCTATTCCCTGTCTAGGCCTTGTCGAGGGGCCTGCCCGATTTAGCGGAGGGAGGTGAGGGCGGCAGGTACGAGCTGATGCAGGTACCGCCGTGGCTGCAGATGGGCACATTTGTGTGGAGAAGCAGCAACGGGGTACACCTGCTGGTGCGTCTGAAACAAGTACCCTTGGCATATCTTGCTGCCGCGATACTACCTGGATGCTACCTGGATGCTGGAGTGCCTACAAGGGAACGGACAGACAGGAAGGTAGCGGTGCCTGGTGTTTCCTTCCATTGGCTTTCCAGACCTCGAAGATGACAGTCAGGGGAGTCTCTCAGGGAAGCTACGATCCGACGCCGTCATGCTCTCGCTTTGCGCGCCTTTGTGCATCATCTTCCCTGTCACCGCTCAAGGGGATCGTGCCTGTGCTTCTCCCATGCCAAAGTCCTTTTCTCCCTGAGCCTAACGATCTACCTACTCGACGCATAGCAATGGCAATGACAATGACAACCCCTTCCTGGGGTCTTGCTAGCAATGCCAGAGACTTGCTTCTTTCTTCCTCTTGTCGCCAGTACGTCTCGTGTCACTCACACTCAGACAGACCAAGACATGATCCTGAACGATGCTCAATTTTAGTCCTCCGCAACGCGTCTTCCGTTCTGAGACGTGGCTCAGAAGCCGCCAGGCCTTGACCTTGAGAGACGCATGCCTGGGACACAGATATCATCATGGTGATGTTAAAGCCGTCCACCAGTGTCTCGACGACTTCTCGGTCTATTATCCAGACGGCGTGGTTCCGTCGCTCTACATTGCGTGGCTACTCCTCCACATCCACTTCACAGCCACAAGTGCCTCGATATCATGACCTACATAACTCGCACACCGGGTTCAGACAAAATCGACAGCCGTTGTTGTGACATCAACGATATGAGGGCCGATCATGCAATCCATGCATTCAGGGAGGCATGTTCCTTGTGCCTGGGCAAGATGAAGATGGAATCGGAACGTAGCATGACTATTGAGCCGTCAAGTTTCGGACACCAATAGCCGGATTGCCATTCCTGGCAGCAGACAGTAGCTCCCCCTCCATACTCATCCTGTCTCCAGCTCGACGCCCTGGGGCCCAGCAGTCCGGTTCACAGGCCAGACGTCACGTCGCAGGCGGCTGGCAGATGGCAGATGGCAGATGGCAGATGGCAGATGGCAGATGGCAGATGGCAGATGGCCATGGGAGGGGCATCCCAGCAGCGGCATCCCAGTCTTTCAACACACAAACTTGGCAGCCCAATTTTCGGGGCCGTTCTCTTCCTCCAATGTCTCGCCAGGCAGACTTCTTGCTAGTCCACTCCACATTGCACAAGGCATGAATTTCAAGCCAGGTTCGTCTGGGTTCTTGCGCTACGACAAGCACGAAGACACACGGCATCCAACAACTGGAACCTCGACTCGCCCTTGCATTGACACGGCAGACTCACCCTACGACCATCGTCGATGTCTGTTACGAACAAAGCCGCCGGAAACGAGCTCCCAAGCTCATGACACACTGAAAATTAGTCTGCGCACCGGTCATTGCGAAAGTCCAGCCACGGCTAAAATGCGATCTCGTCATCCAGGTGCTAGGTTCCTACTGTCATCGGCGTCTCGCAGAATATCCAGGCAGGTATTCCAACATGTCAACTCGTAGCTCGAGCTCCACTTGTCTTGTGTTCCTGCAGCTGGCTTTGGACCCATCAGTCCCGTCACACGCTGACGGCGCCCCGATCCCGCTTTCCCTATTTCGCCTTGTTTCAATGTGCCGCTTCGCGATTATGCCGACTTGAAAGCTCGGGTGTCAATGACCAGTCGCAACACGAGACGGCGCTCGCCTTTTGACATGAACAACGCATCTCGCTGAAGCTTCACCTATCCTCACAGCTGAAGAAACGTTTCGCCAGTCGATTCACCCACCTCTCAGCTCTCCGTCATTGCGCATAAACATCGGAGATGAGGCGCATCGCATGCAGGGGGTTGCCTGTGCCCTACTGGGGGCTTAAATCAGACGCTGCCTGTCCTCCTGTGGGATCAGCACCTCTCCCCGCCCTACTATTGAGGGATAGATGGGATGGCAGGCAGGCGTCATTGTCCCTTCTATGAGCATCCTTGCAATTCAACGTCTCGTGCCATTCTCCTCGGGCTCACCGATCCGGACCCCCAGTACTGAGCTTCCCTCGTGCTTCTTCCGCCGAGCATAAAACATGTTTGGCCCCGCTCACACTGGCGCCTCTCGACAACATTCAAAGCTTCTGCCAAGGACTGCATGAAGCTTCAAAGAAGCAGGCACACGCTCACACCTCACGAAATTGAGCCGCCTGCCTGTGCGCGCTTGTTTCCTCCGGGAAATGGGCCGTTCATGCCAGGGCCCGATACTCTACCCACGTACAACACGCGACGCGCTCGGGGCCTCAGAAGCACACGCGACTGTGGGCATGATTGTTTTTCTCGCCGCTACACGAATCAGCGTGCAAAATCACAGGTCTCCGTCGTCTGATTGCCGATGAAAGTATGCCAAGGTGATGCAGGCAGAAACTCGCCCGCACTTTTCCCAAGCCATCTGGTTGGCTGACCGTCCCTTGCACATGCAAATGCAGTCGTCATGCCACGATGAACATTCGCCCTCACGTGTAAAACCTCATTAAAAAAGGCTTCAAAGGCTTCGGTCCAGACTCGTGTCGCGGCCGATCAACATGCATGGCGTTGTTGCAACGGCCCTTCGGCGACAAAGGCGGCATGGCTGACTGCTCCATAGTCAATGCGTCGGGTTGGGTCTTTATGCTTTGTGCTTCCGTCGGATGCGATGCAAGGGCCCATGGGGACATTGGCTTTGACGGACGTGCACATGGCGACGGCTGGCGGCTGTCGTCGAGGGATAAGGTCGTAGATGGGCGCTGCCCCAGTCAGGCAACGGACGTGATGGAGAGTCGCAAATAGGTACCGACTCAGCGAGGCAGCGACGTCGTCGACATGTGTGATGGATAATGTGCAATGTTGTCTTCATACAAATCATCACCTAGTAGGTGGTCTTTTTCTACTCCGTTGGGCGTCTTGGTTTCTACATCTCGGCATGCGCAGTACATGATGGCCTAGTCTACAATTTTATGGACACGTCATAGCTATCCAACGCGACACCCACGGCCGTCAGGGTCCCGCTGTACGCGATGAGGATGGCCATGGTAGCCACGGGGCCGACGTGCAGCGTGGGGACCGTCATGTTGACGAGCCCCGTCAGCAGGTTGGCCAGCAGGAACAGGGCGAGGCCGTTGCGGTTGTAGGCCCTGATGACGCGGCTCGTGGCGGCGAGGTAGGCGTCGCGCTCCGTCTTGGCGTCGGTGGCGTGGTAAAAGGCCGGGAAGAAGAGCGAGTCGACGAGGCAGTAGAAGAGGATCTGGCCCGAGTTGAAGGCGGCGACCCACAGGACGTAGGGCAGGTTGGCGAGGCGGCGGGAGACGTCGAGGCCGTCGCCCCAGGTGTAGCTCGTCGCGAGGAAGTAGAGGGCGGTCCAGACGGCGGTCCAGACGGCCATGGTCAGGAAGGAGGGTGGTGCGCTGGGTGGCGGGTTCGGAGGGTGCTGCGGGGGTTGAGGGTGCGGGGCAGGATGGAACATGCCCGAGTCCTGCCCGTCGAGGAAGATGG